ATTCACTAACATACTGTCAAAAATCCATATTTAATTTAATATTATAAAAAAATTAAAATATCTACATTTCTTACAGCCCCTTTTAATATAATTTTAATAAAGAAATCCTGTATTACATAAATATTTTATATGAAGAACATAAAGTTTAATAACTACTAAATTTATTTTATTGAAATCATTATGAAAATAAATTAACTTTTTTATTAAAAATTATAAAAAAAAAAAAAAAATTAAACTGTTTTTCTATGGAGAAATAAAAATATACAGTTGAACCTAGATAAGAAGTATCTGAGAGCCTTCCCTCCAAGACTCTGTAAATAAAATTATTTTTTCGGTCATTGAAATTTATAAAATTGTACCTTCTAATTATAGGCCTTTTCATTAACGCACTATATCGCGATATATTACGAGAACTGTTTTATATTAGTGTTTATAAACAAATGTCGCTAATTAGGTTTGTTCATAAACATTGCTAACCTATAAAAAAAATATTTAAATTATCATGGCTAGCGCAGTTATAACAGCTGTATTTTTATTACTAGTTTTTGCAGTTTTTTTAGGAATTCGTCTGTTAATTGTTGTACTTAAAAATAACAAAATTTTTTTTTCTTTTAGTTTTCTTTTTTTGTTTTCTCAAAAATAAATAAATTGTTTTTGTTAATGACATTGTTTGTTCATTAACGCAATACTGCAAATTCATAATAGCAAAAGTTTTTATACAACTGTTTACAAAATATATTGCGTATGAATCACATAATTGTTTTGCAGTATTCTGTTTATGAATTTCTTTCTAAGTACAATCAATTCTGTAAATTCAACTCTCTAATTAAGTGTATATTATTTTCCAAGGCGGAAAAATTCCCAATATCCAGGTTCAACTGTATTTATATAAATTGCTAAAAATATTTCTTTTACGAATAAAATTCAATAATTTACATAAAGTAAAAAATAAATTTTTCCCTTAAACTATTATAATTAGTAGTATAAAAAGCAACTAAATTGAATATTTAGACATTATGAATATATTTTTGTAGTCTCATATCGATAAATATAGGTCAATAATAGGTATCTCATATCAATAAATAAGTATATAAAAAAACAACAAAGCACAAATGTTGTCGATCCGGGGGAAAAATCTGTTTTTGTAGGGATTATTCCGTAAAGTTATAGAATATAAAAATGAAGTAAATTCGTTCAAATTTATGTACATATATAATATGCATTTCAGACCCTTACTTATTTTATTACCAAAAGAAACGCTATCATAAATTTTGTTTTTATAATAAGTAAATAAGTATTTAAGTAAAAAATTCTCCTTCAGGAAATCAATTTTTTTTGTTTTCCTATCATTTATGTAAAAATATAATGGTTACAGGTTATAATAGAATTAAATTTATAAGCATATTAAAACAAGTTATAAATAACTGTAATACTTAAGTTATGTTTTCTAACTAATACAGTATGTATACAGTATGCATACATTATTCGATTATACTATATTTTCCTTGAGCATATTCGTATTAGTACTTATTGTTGTTATTAATTATGTACTTATTGTTGTTTCAAAAAAATTTTTCCATCTGTAATACTATTCACAATTCATTCACAATATTAAAAAGAATCGAATGTCATACTGGCAATACCATTTTACATAACATCAAAATGTCAAAATAACGAATTGAATTACGAATGTTAAGTTTTTTTTTTAGTCTGTAAAGCAAATTTAAAATAAATGTTAGAGGGAAAATGCAAACGGAATTATTTAATAAAGTAGACGGTTAGACCTATAGTTATCGGTACATGAAAGTTTTACAAATAATTTTTAGTAACTATCATTGTCATGAATTAGGTAGGATTTAGACCTACTTAAATCTAGTAACATGCCATTCAGTTTAAATAAGTAATTTTGAAGTACAAAATACATACATAACGTTTTGTGTCATTAAAATCTAATTATTTAAATTTAAATTTGAAATTTAATTATGCTAACAACACGAGTGATATATTGTACAGATAGTTGAGTGGAATAACTATAAAATTCGGTTTCTTGTTATATGATGAAAAAAAAAAAATTAAACAAACAAGTGAATTTATTGGTTTTTGATAGTTTAAATATAAAAGCATAGACAGCAGTTACGAATATCAATACTTAATAATGATAATATAAAGTTATAAACTATAAAGCAGGTATAACACATGTTGAACTAAAAATAAAAATAGCAAGGAAATTATTTAAGTTACTTATATATTAGAATTTATTAGTATTTCAGGAATATTACACAATTTATTGAAAATTTGGTAGAATATAAAAAAGAAAAAAGAAAACGAAAATCTATACAAATATAAGACCATTATTAGTCTACATTTTTGGGAAAAGGTAAATTATAAAAATTTATTGGTTATCAACTTAAATTATTAAGAGAAATTATCATTAACTTAAGTAAAATTAAGAAATTTTCGGTTGCCCTTAATTTCTCAGTTCTACATAAGAGTTAAAAAAAAGAAGCTTATTTAAATAGTCTGGTTAATAAAAAAAACCAACAATAAAATTTTATTGAAAAATATTAAATCTGAACCTATGATTTTTTTTTGGCACTACATTTAAAATTTTATACTTGATTGACGTTATATAAGAGTTTACACGTTTTTAATTGTACCTTAGAAATAAAAGAATAAGTTACATTAAACGGAAAGTTTTATTTCAAAGCTGAATAAGATTTCAAAATCTTGTGTACCACCAGAATCTAAGTATTTTAAAGCCATACTAACTGATTTGAAATTAGTTATAGAATTTATAAAAAATATTGTTATGCAAGCATAATTAATAAAAAACTACAGTTAGTCTTATTTTTGTACACAATAGGTGCACATTATAGAAGAAAAATGAAATCTACACATAACACCTACTTACACATAAATAAAATGAATTTTAAATTAATAATTAAAATAAAACTAAGTAATTATTTCAGTTTCTTATCAAATACTTAGAACATATAATATTATAGTAGGCATGTGTATGCTATATAAAATTGTATAAAAAATTTTAGTAGTTCTTCATATAAAAACTTCCAAGTAAATAAAAGTATCACTAATTCATTAGGGTGCATCGTGTCATGAGAGTACCTATGAACTTTAGAAAAATTATTTATGTATTTTATTCGAAAAGTTTTCAATTGAAAAATTAGCCAACGACTAAATTTACCTATCATTAAATTTACCTAATTTAAATCACTACCTATCATTATGCCGAAACAAATTGTTGAATTGAGTACGTAATACAATTATTTCGAAATTAAAATAAAATATATACTTACAGTATATGCATTAAAAGTAAATATAAAATTTTCAGTATGTGATCAACAAGAATTTTAATTACTTTTTTAAGTTATTATCATAAAGTAAACTTTCAGTTTATACTGACTACTCTAATAGCTCTGACAACTACTCTAATAGCTCTGACAACTATTATAATAGCTCTAGGTGTTAAATAAGTGCAACTAAATAAAATATTAAGAACGCCAATTAGTTATTCTTTATGGCAGTTTTATATTTTTATTTTCATTTATTCTTTGCTTCTTCTTTTTTTTAACTTAATTGGTCTCAAATGAAGGGAAATTATGAAAAAAATTAGTTTGTTTCTTTTTTCCAATATTTTGATGAATAATGTAAATCTTCTTGTTTCATTTAATTTTAAGCGGATCATAATTCATATAATTATAGCTATGAAATAGTTTCAATCTTCGTTAAATACAGTTGAGATTTAAATGAGCATTATGAAGCAATCGTTTACCTCCTAAATATTTCTACAATTTTTCAACATCAATGCTAGATATCACAATAAATCTACCTATCTATGTGCATTAACACATGTACAGACAACAAAAAATAACAATCGGGTTGCGCTGACAAAATTCAAAATTTTCAATTAATATTTGTTTTGAATCTTGATTAAACTGCTAGTTTTCTATAACTTATTACTAAAATATCTAGGTACATCAGTACCTAACCAATCTAAAAAATTTGAATGATTTATAAAATGTTAATTTTCCGATATAAATCACTAAACCCCTTATACAGCCGGTCTTTTATTTCTAAAATAAAAGTAAAATTTTAAATTAAAACCAACAATAAATTGATTAATATAAAAAATAATATAAAAAATTATATATGAATACATACATACTACCCAAACTGTTGTAGGTAAGTATTTAAATTAAAAAAGCCGGTTTTTTTAATCAAGATTTCTATTTGAAGTTACGTAAGATAAATATATTGCGAATAATAATAATAATAATAAACAAAGAATTATTTATTTAAATCTTGCATCTATTTTCGAAAGCTAAATAGTTATTATGAAAAATTATTTTTGCTAAAATAGAAAAATAATAGCTATTATACTTTATTGTAATAAAAATAGGTAGTTAAATAATACCTTTGCATGATTAAATATCACTCTATATACGTACATTATATGTTATATATGTACTTTTATATTTAGTACATACAGTTTATGTTTATACATCCAACAAACTATATACCAGCAATATTATAAATAAATTGAATTTATAAAAGTAGTTACGATACCTTAAATGTCAAAGAGAAAGCAAACTATATTTAGATATCTACATTAGAAATATACATTAGGTATACCAAAATATATACAATATATCTACTTAGTTAATGCTTGTTATAAAATAAAGTTATTGATTTCTTTTTTATTCCGACGTAAGATTCCATTTAGACTAGCATAACTACATAATTTTTAATTCTTATAAGACAAAATATTTTGCTTTTGTACATTTTCACTTTACTAGTATTAGTATTAAATAGCCCTTATACAATTTAAACACATTTTATTAAAAAGAATTCCAACCTAAAAAATATGAAGTAGTGAAATTGAATAGAGATTTAATTGTAAAAAAAAGTAAAAAAAAAAAATGTTATGTCCAATTTAAAATGAAAATTCTTAAAAAATAAAAATTAAAAAAAAGAAAACTTACCAATTTCCAATGATGGTATTGGTAGAGCTCCGCATAATCCAAAAACAATTGATAATCCATAAAAAAGTGTAAAAAAATTCATTTTTGCATAAAATTTTTTAGTTTTGCTTTTCTTAATTATTCCTTGACTTTTAAATTTGCTTTATTGTATTTCCTGATTCCTTGTATTCCTTGCAGTTTATAAAACAAAAAATTGCATGTAAATTATATCGATCGATTTGTTGGCCGCACCAAAAATTATTCTTAATAACTAAGTAGGTACCATAAGATATAAGTTTCCTTTTTAAAATTAATAGTTTTTAAAATAAGTAAGTATAGATATAATATGTATAAGTAAAGTAATGTAAGTATAGGTAGGTAGGTACATACCTACTTAATATCATAATATTAAGTCTTAATATAAATTTTCTTTTGAAAAATATTTTTAATCTTTAGACACGTTAACTAAAATTACCTATGAATGTAAAATATACGCTGTATATATGTACCGAATTATCTTTTTTCTTCTTAACTTTCATATGTATCCAAGTGAATAGTGTATATATTAAGTATGTGCAATTTTTTTTTATGTAGTCCTGGTTATATTATATAGATAGGTATGTATGTACGTTGAATATAACTTTTATATAATTAGCTACTACTATACTATATATTATAAATAATGTTATATTAGTTTAAAATTTATAGGTATATAATGTAGACAGGTATGTACATATATATTCCAATTTGCTTCTTCTTAATTTTTATAATAATGTGTAGTAAAAATTTATTAACTTAGTTGGTGTGATTTGGTGATGTATAATTATATTGGTTGCATCATTTTAATCCTTGTAATGATTATTTTTTTTTCTGCTTCCTGTTTCTTCTATTTCTTTTTTGCTTAAGTATTATATTCTATCTTCGTTATATCCATTTTAGTTTTCTCTTGTAATCCAATATTTATGCTTACATACATATGGTATGTATGTATGTATATTTCCTTATGAAATCGAATGATCGAATATTTTATATGCACTTAGTATTTAAAACTAAATAAATTTTATGTTTAATATTAAAATATTGAAATGTTGGATTTGTTCTCTTAATTTATTTTTTTTAGTAGACTTTTATTCGTACAGCATTCTTCTTTTCTATTTTAAATTAGAATATTATATGAAAATTTTCCAAATATTTTATAAAATATAATTTGATTTTTATATATCCAACGCTTGCTTTGTTTTCACTTTTACAAATAAAGTACTTATACATTTTATATAAAATTAAATTAAAAAAATAGATTTTTTTTTACTTTTTTTCCTTTTATCTATTCAAGACCTAGATTCTTAGCATATGTACATATGGGCGTTTCGGTACCTTTCTATGAAGAACTAAACTGGCGAATTACACATGTATGTATGTATATACTTATGTAAATACTGTAGGTATAGTAGGTATTTTTTTTTATTATATGTAAAATTGAATAGAAAGTTTGTGTTGTCTAATTGAACTTTTATGTTTCAAAATCATATTTTCACTAAAATATTAAAAATTAATTTTTGTTTTAATTAAATTATTTAGCATACTTGCAAAAATTTAATTCTGCAAGAATTTTTATTTTTTTTTTATTAAATAGAAATTCCGATATATTCAATTTTTTTCTAGGTAACACAAAGCATACAGAAAAGCAGACGCACGCCAATTTTTTTTTTCTCTTTTTCTTGTTTTGGCTTTTTTTCTAACTTTTATAAGTAAAACTAACTGTTTGCACTCATTTTTCTTAAAATTGAAAACTATAATTTCTTTTAACTTTTGAAAATTAAATTTATATCTTGTATCTATAATTTAAATATATTTTCGAATTGTTGTTCTTTTTTTTTTAATAAAATGAAAAACTTAAAAGATACATGTAAAAAAAAAAAATTCCCTTTTTTCTTATATTACTTTGCGAAACACTTACACGCTATAGTATCGTAGTGTTGTAGACGACATTTGACGATTGTGTTTTTGAAGTTTTCAAAATTAAAAGAATTTTTTTTTTTGAATATAAAGCTTTATTTGCAGAAAGTTTTAAAGCTTTTATTTTATGAAATAATCGATTATTTGAATTATGACAAATGACACATAACACTTTAAATAATTGACATTTTGATTCGTTATTTGTTACGTTCTAAAAATATTTTCACAATTACTTTTAAGTAAGAATATATTATTTTGAAGTGGCAAGAAAGCATTGTATACAACAAGATATAACAAAAGAGCCAATAATGAATTTCTAATTGTACTAAATTAAAAAATTTTATTACTAAATTATGGATAGAATTTTTTATTAGAAAAATAAAATTGTACAATATACATACAATTATCTAACCGGACCTAATGGTCTACGTAATGGCCTACGTACATAAATTTTAGTAATATTTTATCACATACATTTTTTCTTCACTCACGATTTGATAGTCCATATTATAACGAAGATTAATGGTATTGTACGTTCTGAGGTTTATATATATCTTTACAAATTTTGAGCATTCAATGGTACGTGATGTACTTCGAAAAACAACAACAAATATACAGAAATATTAAAATTCAGAAGTTCTTACGAGGGAATCACTAAATGATGAAGATGATAATTTGACAACTTTCATACTTTCTTAAAAATTTATATCGTAAATATTAATTTGCACAATAAATAATATTTACGTGTTCCCATTATGCATCGCAAATTAACTTACTCACTCCTTAACGGTTTTATTTAGTTTGACAGATCAGAAATATCATATGATATAAGTCATTAAAAGAAAATGCCAAGATACCGGGTGCAAATAAACCTAAACAAAAACTAAATTTAAAATGTATTGATGTACAATTGAAAATTTCTAATAAAAAAAAAACTATGAAAACAAGATCTAAATTGAAAAGCGATAGCGATAATTCACAAAATATCGTTGACTCTGAAAAGATTGTTGAATGTAATTCTGATAAAAAAAATTTAAATGACCCAATTCCTATTACTGCAACTGACGACCAAAAAACTGAAGATCAGGATAAGGAAAAAAATTCAACAAAAAATATATCAAAAAAAGCAAAACTATATTTCGTCATTAAGGATAATTTATTTGTATTAAGTTGTGTTGGGTGTAAATGTACATTTCCAGATGTCCCAGATTTTTTAAATCATGTTTGCAGCCCAAAGGATAATGGATCTAAGAAAAAAAGTGTTTCAAAACCATGTAGGACTTTAGAAGAAAGTATAGGAACTGAAACAAATTTAATTATTGGGGAAGATGGTCTATGGCATTGTAGAATTTGTGATAAAGGATATGAAAAAAAGAATAGCCTTAAAAAACACGAACAAGCACATTTATTTACTTTTACATGCGAAATTTGTGGTAAAGGATTAAAATCATCTGTAAATTTACGTGAACACATGAATGTTCATTCTGGAGTTCGTCCTTATAAATGTCATTTATGCCCTATGACATTTGCCCGAAAGTGGGGACTAACATCTCATGTTCGCTCTCATATTGGTGATAAAAGATATAGTTGCGAACATTGTGAGAAAAAATTTATAAATGGTGCCATATTAAAAATTCATGTTCGAATGGTTCATACCAAAGAAAAACCTTGCCAATGCGAATTATGCGGACAGCATTTTTATTCAAATCAGTTGCTGAAAGAACACAAAAAACGACATTTGAATATTAGACCTTATAAATGCGAATATGAAAACTGCGGCAAAAGTTTCTATGATAAAAAACAATTAAATCGTCATTATGTATCGCACTCAGATGAAAAGCCTTTTAAATGCACATTTAATAACTGTGACGCTAAATTTGCTAGACAAAAAACATTGCAAGCACATTTGAAAATCCATTCAGGAGTAAAAGATCATTTGTGTACGATATGTGGTAAAGGTTTTGCTATGAATTATAATTTAACAAGTCACATGAAAAGCCATGCAAATGGAAAATTAAAAGTAAAAAAAAAAGACTTATCTACTAAAAGAAAAAATTCAAAAAAAAATAAGAAAATAAACATAGGAAAAAATGTTGATATGGTATATACCGAAATTAAAGAAGAGTTGGAAAATTCGGAACAGCGGGAAACAATATTGATGGAAAACAAATCCATTTCAGATGAATTAAAGGAATTTATATTTAATGATACATTTAACGAATCTGAAAATAAAATCGCTGTGAATACAAATAATATTGGATATAATAATAAAAATTTTGCAAATATGTATGACAATATGAGAAATTCAGTGCCTTTAGTAGATACTTCAATTCCAGTTCCTTTTGTTGACGAGAAACTTAAAGAAATAACTGTAAATCAAATTAATGAAAATATTTCAATTCTTGATTTACCCCAAGAAATCAATATCGAAAACCAAACCTCGACAGAAGGAGTGGAATCAACTTCAAATAACGTTTCTTTAGTAGTAACAATGGATCACCAGGCATTCCTTGGAAACAATATATTACATATCTATCAAATACCAAATTAAAATTTGATTATTTTGTATATTTGTCTTAAATACCCATAAAATATATTTGAATATTTACCTATTGTATTAAAAACACAAATCTATTTTGATGCAAAATAAATATGTATGGAATTGAAAATAAATTTTAGCCTTTAAAAAAAAATTTTGATTCTATTAAAAAATTATTCAAAAATCTTCATTGTAGATATAAAAAAAAAATTAGTAAATTGTTCTACTCTTTATTTCCACTACAATCACACCATGGTGTAATGTTTCGGTCACAACTTAATTTTATACTTAAAACAGTTAATGGTGCTTCATCAATAGTTAAATTCTGAATATTTTCAATTTGATATTTCGTTGTATTTAATCCAGTTTCACGATCTCTTCTTCTTGTAATTTCTCTTTGATTAAAACATTTTTCAGTATCTCGTTTACGATGATTACGATCATGAATGTGGCTAAAATATATGGTAAAATTTTTTATTATACATATATTAATGAATAATAGTATTTGATTTTTTTTATTTACTTGAATGTATTATTTGGTCCAGTTGTAATATTTTTAGGTCTTGTAACAATTAAACCAGCATTTTTTATTCTCACAAAAAATTCATCATCTTCTAAACCCCAACCCCAATATTTATTTGACATTCCATTTAACAATTCAAAATGTTCCTTTTTAATTAATAAAATTCCACCTACGAAATTTGGATAGTGATACTTTGGATGAAAATCTGGTGAGGCAATATGCAATGGTCCGTGTTCGGGGTATTCGTAAAGTAAATTGTCATTTAATGGTAATAAATCAACATCATGCATGGCAATATAATCATACTCATATTTTGTATATAAAAAACCAATATTTATCAAAGAAGCACGATTAAAACGTAAACGATCTATTTGATTTAATATAAAAATATGGTGTTGTATTGATTGCTTCTTTAAAAATTTTGTCATATGTGGAACAAATTGCAATAGTTCTTCAAATCTGTCACGAAATGGCACTAATATAGCTAGTTTATATTTATTATTTACATTCTTTTTTATATTTGAGGATGACAATGAAAAGTCTGAGGCACTTGATAGTTTTTTTGATTTACTATTATAAGCTTGAGGAAGTGCCGCAGATTTCATTCTTTCATTATTATTATTATCATTTGTAATATACGTTTGAGTATTATCACAGTTACATTCTAAAAAGAAACTTAAAATTAGCTATTACAATCTTAGCGTGTTTTTTAGACGTGTTACCTGTAGTGAAGGAAAATATTCCAAAGATTAAAGATATCGTAAAGCATAAAATTAATCCATATATTAAAAAAGATTTTAAAGATAAACTGCCTTGCATAATTGCTTTTTTTCCTTTAAAAGCTTTTCATTTTTAAAATTTAATAAAAGTAAATGCATAGCTAATTCAAATACATCATTTGAATAACTTTTGTTCTACATTAATTAACCATAAAATTAAGTTATTGAAAAAAAAAACAACAAACACTAAACACGAAAAGTATTGAATAGTAATTTGAATAACATCCTGGCACATGCCGTCAAAGTACAATATAAATAAATAAGCAAAAATGCTTAGTTGACATTAGTAGCATATTTATTTGTTTATTGGGAGCGAGTATATTTTTTAAATAATCCCCCTAATGGCGTTATTGAGAAACTTCAAGTTATCAAATTAAATTGTTTTTTAAGATATCCCTGCAGACGCTAGCATTTAGTATAGATATTTGGTAAGGCATTTTCTTGCGTTGGATATTAGAACTGAAAGATTATTTTCTTTATTTTTGAAGAAATTAATACTCTGGCGGATTTCAATTTCGGAATGCCATACGAGAAATGCGAAAATTTTGACAGCCAAAAACACATTTTTTTATGCGAAATTTTTATTATACCTCTATAAAAGTAAATTAATTGCTTCTATCCACACTCCATTTTAATTGAGAATTATCCGCATTCTTAATATCTTCTTAGACATAAATTTTTGAAGACTATAAAATGTTATTTTTCGTTAACGTGTTCAATGTCCTTTGTTAAATTCTTTGATAATGAACGCATAAAGTCCAAAATTTTTTGCAGCTGTCAATTCTGACATTTTTATAATTTGGCAGCTGCGGATTTAAATTTAAATTCGGAATTCGAAACAATCAGTTGAAAGAAATTCAACACCCTGACAATTTAAATAAACAATAACAAAATAAATAACAAACGAAGTATCAAAAAAAAAACATATTAAAATATTTAAAATTTATTTAGAAATTTTAATTAATCCTAGAGAAACTGATTTTCTATTTTTCATAATATAATATGAAGATTAACTAAAAATTTCGAATGGTTATTTAGAAATTTTGACTTTACTGTTACGTTTGAAGTAGCTTGTTCATAAAAAGATTACGATAATGGATATCGTATAATTGTAAACTTGCATTTTTTTGATATTGTCTTTGAATACAGGAGAAATGTGTGAATTAAACATTTTATCTATTCAGACTTCATTTGCAATAAAAAATTCTGTTAAAATGTTGTGATGTTCATTTTGAAGATTATGGCAAAGTAATCACAGCAAGCAAAAAATTTTTGCGAAAAAATGCAAGTCTTAAGTCTACATTTTTCGTGCATTTCTGAAGCTGTTTCTGAAGTTGTGGAAACCATAAAAAACATTTCCATACAAAGTCAAATATCTTGTGAGTCAAATGAAAAATTATGATGTTAACTAGAATTTAACTTATTGCTTCGGCATGGATAATAACATTACTGAAAATAAAACAACAGTTTTAAATAAAAGCCGTATATTTTTGAATGAAAATTTGTCTGCAAACCATTTTGCAAAAATCAACGAAGAACAGCAATCCAGTTAAGATGCAATATTGTAGCTGATTCTGAACTACTTTTCTAAAAACTTGATTTCGAGCTTGCGATGATTTATTAACAGATTCTGTTAAGAAATAATTCCCGACTAACTACATAATATGATAGTTTGCGCATTGTAGATTTGCAGTAGTTATGCACAATTTAACTTAAAATTTTTTTGAAAATATTTTTCATTGAAATTGTTTTTTTTTTTTAGAGTGATATAATCTTACCGGAATAAGAGAATAGGGAAGAAAATCATGGCAATAAAAAAGATTGGATTTAAGTAAGTAAATATTTAAATTTGAACTTTCCAATTGGAAAATTGATTCTGTTAAAAAGGAGAATTCTTTCAGAAGAAGAGATTATATTGCCATATTTTAAAAACAAAACCAAAAAATTTCGAACTATGCATGGACATGTATGTATACCTACATTATTTTGTAATATATTTTCGGCTACCAAAACATAATGTTTAACAAAACAATCAAATACAGTTTATGCAGATTCTTTTGTATTGCTTGTAAAATACAAATAGATTTATACTTATGTAAGTTTGGGTTATATTTTATATGAATTAGATTTATGCATAGGTAGATACGTATATATTTACTACTCGTAGAAGTGAATTTTTAGTTTCACGAACGAACCTACCTAACTTCATTTTAAGTATTTTGTAAAATTTCATTATTAATAGGTAACCGGGTATACTTATATTTCGAATTTCAAATTTTAATAATAATATCATAAATATTTTTTAATTAAAATGTAAGCTAAACTAATTATGCTATATGTAATATCATGGTGTACTGTAAAATAGGAATTATATGATTTTAAAGATGTTTAATTGATAAAAAAAATTGAAAATAAAATTAAAACAAATTTTTGTAATTGATTTTTTGATATTTAAGATTTTATCAAAATTCCGGAAAGATCAAAGTAACAAAAAGTTTAAACAACATCCGGAAAGATAACAGTTTTTTTATATCATTAAAATTATAAAATCAATTATATAGCAAGTTAGTAACTCTACTTATTGTTTACTTCTGTTTATTTTATACATTACTGAAATGGACAGAATTAATTATTAAAAAAGAATTTTTCTTAAATTAATTTTAAATAGGTATCTACTTTCGTTTCTATTGCAATTAAATCACTACAAAAAATCATTATTGATCAAATGCGTTGAAGGGAAATTTTAGATATTTTTATTTAAAAAAATTAAAACTCACATTTTTTTTTTCTTTTTTTCTATATAGGTAGCATCATTTTATTTATATTTTTGATAGTTTTTTTTTTTTAATTTTTATTCTTATGTTTTATAGAAACAACATCATTTTTAAATATAGTTATACTTTTGTTTTTTTTTTTTTATTTTTGTTATTTTATATTAATTTTTATATAAGAATTAATTTTTTATTCTTTAATTTTTTAAATTAGCATTACATGATTTTATTTTTTTATTTTGTATTACTGTTTTTTCTTTTTCTTACTTTTTTTTGAATTCTACTATAGTATAGTTTTCTGTTTTTTTTTTTATCTATTAAATAATTATTATTATTTTTATACATATGTAAATATATTTATTTGTTTGTGTATAATATACATATTTATATATATATATATATTTATAAGTATTACAATTAAATATATATATTGCATTTTTTTTATTTTTTCAAAATTTTCATTTTATTTTGTATTTTTTTTTTTAATTTTATTTTTTCTGTTAAAAACGAACATCAACATATATTTTACTATTATTTTTATTTTTAAAGAAATTTTAATTATAATTTAATTTTTTTTTAATTTGTTTTCTTTTTTTTTCGTTCTTCATTTATACATTTAATTATTTTATTTTTTCTTTATTAATATTGAATATGAAAGTAAGTTTTCAAAGATTTTGAATTATCTATTTTTTTTCTTGTTTTATTTCCTTAGTATGTAATAGCAAAAATAAGATATATACGTATAAAAATATAATTTTTTTTTTGTTAAATGATAATTTGTAAAAAATAAATATTTAATTAGAAAACTACAAAATCAAATAAAATTTTTTTGCCACTTTTTTTTTCTAATACAATTTGTTGAAAAAAGAAGAATGTAAAAGCAATTACTAATTATTTTATACATTATGTTTTTGTTTTTATAATATTATACATATATATTTTAAGAGTATGAAAATATAATTTAAGTGTACTATTTTGCTTAATTCTTGTCGGGCTCTTCTAAAATCTAAAATATAATTACTTAAAATTTTTGAAATTTTTTTGAATTAAATTATTTTACTATTTTGAAAGATTGAATATTTCAATTGTAATCTAGCAAAAAGAAAATATTAAAAGTTAAATTTATGTAATAAAAAAAAAAAAGAAAAATAAAAACTTTCTTGGACTTCTAGTTCTGCGATATAAGTGGAGCCTTAAATATATTGCAATGAACATTTTAATTTCTCTACATTATATTATTCACTTATTTACTTGTATTATGAAGGTGGTAGGCACGTAGAATTTTGCATCCCTTATTAAGAGCATATTTTTAAACAATTCAAATCTTGTATGACTTAGTTGCCTAAAAATCCGAACAAGAATTTCAATATTTCGGGGATTTTTCACCTAGGATAAAAAAAAAATGTTAGCTGAATTATATTCTATAAAATAATCTTTTTTTATACGAAATGTTCAAAAATGTCAAAAATATATAAAATTTTAATTGGATAATGTCACAAAATATGAAGCTTTTGTCTGGAACCACTTTTTCACTACAAGAGCTATTAATTTGATTTAAATATCTTGTGGAAATAAATTTTATAATTAGCAAGATATACAAAAGGGATGCAGTTTTCCATAAAAAATAATATTAAATTAAAGACCAATAAAAATTTAGGTGTCCACAAGAATGCCCTTTTTGTGTACCAGTTATTTATTTTTTCATTATTTTTTATATTTCAATTCTTTTAGTTTTTAATTGTTTCGATTCTCATTAATAGAAACTTAAAAATAAAGAAAAAATTAACAAATAAATAATTTTAATAACCTGAGTTTTCTTTTTGGTAGCCATTAGTTTAATTATAAAATTTAATTATAATTAATTACATTTTTTTCGAAAAACTTTATTGTTAATTTAATTGTAATTGTAATTTTAGAAAATTAATTATAAATTTAGAAAATTAATTATATATAAATATCTGCGGTAAGAAATGAAAACTGCAAAATGAAGTTTAAGTATTCTTATGTTATTTCTGGAAAACAAGCTAGTATAGAAACTTTTTCGAAAAAAATTATTTTATAGTTGTTAAATTTTTTGAGCAGTTTTTTTCTTCTTTTAATTTGACCACCTTGCAATAATTAAAATTGAAATAAATTTTGCTAGATTATATAGACCTTAGATATTCATTTATTTTGATTTTGCTCGAAATCAATTTTGGGAAAATATTTGGTTTTTTATTTGCCACAGATATATATATGTATACAAATTTATATATACGTATATTACACGTATGTATATTACATATTATAACTTTATTACACATATGCATACAATTTGTTTTTTTTTTTTTCTTTAAATTATTATTTAATATGAAACACAATTATATTATAAATCTAATTTCAAATTCTATTATTAATCATCATTATTAATTTTAAATATTAAATTACATTAATTTTGCAAAAAAGAGAAACGTTTAAATTT